AGAGCCCAGAAGTAAATCCTCTCCTATGTGGTCATCTGCCTATGACAAGAGTGCCGAGCCGATTCATGGGGGGAAGGACAATCTTTTCAACAAATGGTGCTGGGGAAACTGGATATCCGCAAGCCGAAGGATGAAGTGGGACCGGTACCTTAAACATATGCAAAAATGGATTAAAGGCCTACGTTTAAGAGCTAAAACGATAAAACTGTTTGACGTAAAATCTTCATGACCTTGAATTTAACAATGGTCTCTTAAGCAGGACACTAAAAGTGGCCACAAAAGGAAAAAAAATTAATAAAATGGATTTTATCAAAATGAAAACTTACGCGCCTCAAAAGACACTATCAAGAGAATAATAAGAACCCACACCTCAACAGCAAGAAAGCAAATGACCAAGTTCAAAGATGGGCAAAGGACCTGCCAGTTCTCCAAAGAAGACGGGCAAGTGACCACTACGCACGTGGAAAGATGCTCAACGTGCTGGCCGTTGGGGAAATGCACCCAGAGCCATTGCACACACGCCGGATGGCTGTGTTCCAAACCAGAATGTCAGTGAGGACGTGGAGAAACGGGGGCCCTCACACTTTGCAGGTGGGGATGTAAACGGGTTCGGCCGCTGTGGAAAACGGTACGGCAGCTCTTCACAAAGCTGACCACCGTGACCCATTTCACTCCTAGATCCATACGCAAAAGGATCGAAAACAGGACGCACACAAGTACCTGTACGTGCATGACCATCGCAACGTCATTCACAACAGCCAAAGGGCGGAAACAACCAAATGTCTGCGGACGGACGAATGGATAAGCAAACTGTGGTGCATCCATACAATAGTCCTCAGCCACGAATTCAGCCACGAACAGGAATGACACGTGCCACAACGTGGGTGAACCTTGACAACATGATGTTAAAGCGACAGAAGCCAGACGTAAAGGTCACATATTGTATCATTCCGTTGATTTGAAATATCCCCAGTAGGTACATTCATAGAGACAAAAAGGTGATGGGTGGTTTCCAGACCTGGAGAGTGGGGGAATGGCGAGATTTTATGTAAGGAATATGGAATTTCCGCTCAGAAAGATGAGAAAGCTCTGCAGTATAACATTGTGAATGTTCTAAATACTGCTGAGCCCTAGCCAGTTAGCTCAGTGGCTAGAGCGTCGGCCTGCAGACTGAAGAGTACCAGGTTCGATTCCAGTCAAGGGATCCCTTCCTCTCTGAAATCAATAAAAATATTTTTTTAAAAATACGTACTGCTGTATGTATATTAAAAAATAAATACATCCTTTGTAATGGTTAATTTGTTTTGTGTATTACACACACACACACACACACACACACACACACACGTGAGAAACAGATGTTATCATTCTCTATTTACTGATGAGAAACTGAAACTTGTTCAAGGTCACCCAGGGCTTTCTTAGCAGCCAAGGTCAAGCGTCCCAGCTCCGGAATCGAAGGGAAAGCTTCGATCGGCCTCAGCCTCAGGGAGGTGACAGCAAATCAGGAGGATGGGGGAGAGGTGAGACACGCATTGTAGATTCCACACGGAATTTAGAGGCCTGGTAGGTTGTTTGGTTTAAAAAAAATTGTGTTTTTTTTCCCCGAGGGCACACTCACCTTTCAAGGGCATGCATGTACTTCTTGTGCAGGTGCCAAAGGCCTGAATGGATTCCGTAAGCCCGACCATAAACCCGGCAATGGCCCCCACGGGAGCTGGCGGCCACCAGCACGGGGGTCTCACACGCTGCGGTAAAGTCACCGCCGGCCACACCCAGACCCCACCACCCACCGCTCCCGCAGGTTACTGTAGCGCGGGGACCGTAAAGGCAGCAGTTATAGCCGTCCCACTGCTTTTTCTACCTCAGTCACCGCCCTCTATTTTTGCTGTGTGTGACCAGATTCTGAAGAGATTGAAAGGTTTTCCCAGGCACTGGAATAGCTTTAAGTTTTTTAAAGACATAGTTGACGTATACTAAGAAATGGGCGAGAAAAATGAAAATCGAGATTTGACATTTATTTCATCTATATATGCATTTTATTTTCTTAACGTTTGCTAAGCCATTTGTAAGTGAACCTCAGGACAGTAATGCTCCAGCATGCCTTTGTCAAAAACTAGCACGGGTATTTTTCCATAATACCATTATCTTCTCTACCAAAATCAACACTCATCTCCCAATAGCATCGAGTAATTAGTTCGCATTTAAATCCTCTGAAAATGTTCTAAAAATCTTTTCTTTTAATTAATTTTTAAAGAGAGAGGAAGGGAGAGGGAGAGGGAGAGAGAAACATCCACTGGCTGCCTCCTGCTAGCTCCCTACCAGGGATCAAGCCCGCAATCCCGGCGTGTGCCCCAACCCAGAATCAAACCAGAGACCGCTCAGTGCACAAGATGACGCCCAACCCACTGGGCCAACCGGTCGGGGTTAAAATCTCTTTCAAAGAAGCTAAAACCAGGGCCCAGTAACAGACCACACCTTGCATTTGGCTGTTCTGCTCCCTGTCTCCCTTTTAGCAGAGAACAATCCCCTTGATCTTGTCTTACTTTTTATTTTATTTTTTAAAATATTTTTATTGATTTCAGAGAGGAAGGGAGAAGGAGAGAGAGATAGAAACATCAATGAGGAGAGAAAATCGTCGATCGCTGCCTCCTGCACGCCCCACACTGGGGATCCAGCCCGAAAACCAGGCATGTGCCCTGACCAGGAATCGAACCTTGACTTCCTGGTTCACCAGTCGATGCTCAACCCCTGAGCCACACTGGCCAAGCTCGTCTTACTTTTTACATTTCAGATCAGTTCCAGGCCATGTTGGCTGCCCAATGACTTTACCGTGCTGCCATAAATTTTTAAACTTGTCTCCGATGCTAAGTGAAATGCCCCAAACGAATTTAGTCCAAATGAACATTTTCATCGCTAACTCTGGTTGCACCCAGTGGGGATTTATTTATTTTTTTACAACGTTCTAAAACGTACTTCAAGGACTCCTGTCGGCAATCTAGCTCTGCATTTCAAACTCTCAATGCCCTTCCAGCCAGCACTGCTTGCGCGCTATCTTCAGCGACGCCTCTCACGCTGGTACTGCATACTGACTTTGGACGTAAGTCATTTTCATAAAGAAAAACAGCACTTCCAAGGGTGGCAGGGTCACGCACGATTTCTTTTACTGACTATTCCTGAAAACCACGTTGAGATTTTACATGTTATCTTAAGATCGGAATGTGAAATAAAAGAGGTGAGACGTCGTTACCCAAATCATTTCTGGAGCCGGTGTTTCAGGTGTCAGGGCGTGGCCGTGGTCCACCGTGGGTGATCCTCCGTGGGACGGGGCCGTGATTTCAGTTGGACAAATCGTGGTCAGGAGAGTGCCGAGCCCTTCGTCATATGGCCAGTGTGTTTCAGGCAGCAAAGTCACTGTCATGAAAAACATAACTGGCCCTCGCTGGTCTGACCCAGTGGATAAAGCACCGGCCTGTGGACTGAAGGGTCCCAGGTTCGATTCCGGTCAAGGGCACGTACCTTGGTTGCAGGCTCCTCCCCAGTCTGGGCGAGTATGGGAGGCAACCAGTCGATGCGTGTGTCTCTCTCATGTCAATGTTTCTCTCTCTGTGTGTCTCCCCCTCCCATTCTCTCTAAACATCAATGGAAAAATAGCCTCGGGTGAGGATTAAAAAAATAAAAATCACGCAAGGAGTGAACTTACTAAGAGGACCTGGCCGAGGGGAGGGCAGGTCCTGCAGCAGCTTCCGGGCCCTCCTATTTGTGCCAGTTAATTTACGGACCCAGGGCCGCGCATATTCAGGTCACTTTCAAGCTAAGGGGGTTTGGCAGGTGCCAAGCCCTACAACGGAGGAATTCCCCCCCCCCTCTCTCTCTCTCACACACAACACACACACACATATTCACACACCCACTTCCTGCGGGGGATGGGGGCAGCCCCACCCAAGGGAGGCCAGGAGTGTGGCCCAGACCGGCACCAGTGGCCTGGGGACCATGACACACAGAGGGCAGCGGCCTGAGGGGACCATGAGGGCGTGGCTTCCTGGGGGGCCCAGGGGAGGCGAAGTGGTGGCCCAGAGACGGAGCACAGGACTGGGCAAGCAGACAGTTAGACAAGGAGAAGAAAGAGGCGCTGAGCCCGGCCGGCATAGCTAAGTGGTTGAGCGTGGATCTATAAACCATGGTGCGACGCCCAGTCAGGGCACATGCCCCGGGTTGTGGGTTTGATCCCGGTGTGGGGTGTGCAGGAGGCAGCCGATCCGTGATTCTCTCTTATCATTGATGTTTCTATCCCCCTCTCCTTGCTCTTCCTCTCAGACATCAATAAAAATATTTTAAAAATGAAAAAGAGACGCTGAAGCCAGACTCCATGGGGTTTGGTATCAGCGCTGCCACTTACCAGCTGCGTCTCCTTGGACAAGTCACGTCCCCTCTCTGTGCCTCAGTTTCCTCCTCTGGAAAATGGGATGGTGTTAAGTGCACCTACATCAAAGGGCTGTTGTGGGGATTGTTGCTACCGTGTAGACGGCAACATTAGGTATTTAACCCAACACACGGGCACATTGGAAGGGGCCTCCGTGCTGGTGGAAGCGGGGAGGGATGAGCTGGGGGAGACGGAAAACAAAGAGAGTCGCCTGTATGAGCCGAGCGGGCGGATACACTCCACCCCGGGCACCTAAGATCCATAATTTCTTCAGCTTTTCCATTTTTAAAGAGAATGCTAGCTGTTCAAGTCCCACACGGCTCCGGTCAGAGGCTGCAGCCGGCGCTGGCTGGTCCCACCCCCTCGCCCTCTCCCTGGCCCAGCGGCTCCGGCATGCGGGCTCGGGGGCTGGCACGGTGGGCAGGACGGGCCACCGCGGGCCGGCGGGCCGGCTGCCTTATCGCGCCGGGCAGAACGAACAGCGTGGGGCCTGACACGGGCCCGCCCCATGGCCACAGCGGGGCGGCCGGCTTTTTTCCTGACCATCTTTGAGCCTGAGATCAGACACAGGGAAAGATTAAAACAAATATGAATTTAATCAAGGGATTCTGCTGTCCTGGGGTGAAACAGGAGCCCGCTGACACACAGAGGCCGGAGCACTGGGGAGCCAGAGTTGAATCAAAGCCGCCTGCTTCCCACTAACCACTCGGATGATCCTATCATCACAACAAGAAAGGAAAACAATTATTTATTCTTTTTGATGTTGCAGCTCAGCAGCGACTTGCTTTCTGAAGAGCAAGGTCAAAACCAAGTTATTGTTTCTGCCTGAAACTTTGACGGGGACGCGGAGTTCTTCCGTGTGACCTACTTCCGTGCGAGGAGCGGGCAGTGGGAGAGGCTGCTGGCTCCTGGGCCGTGGGTGGTACTTCCTCCCGCCTCCGCCTCTCACCCCTCTTCCCCGCTCTTCCCCGCTCTTCCCGTGAAGGACCCGAGTACGAAGTCGTGGGGAACACAGGCTGCGAGCAGTGTGTCTGTCCCGGGGGAGAGCCAGGAGCCGAGTTCTCTGGACTGACACCCCCACACGCCCCAGGCGTGAGGCTCAAGGCCCAGCATACACCCACGAACACCTCAGCAGACCTACTATTTTCACGCGCGTGGGCCCAACTTGCAATGTCCAGCCCTGTGTGTCTTCCTCTGCTACCCAGAGCCCTGACCAGAAGCCCACTGAGTTCCCTCCCCCTCCCACCCCCCCTCCGGCCCTGGGGGGCAGCCTGAGCCAATGATGGTTGGGGCGTTGGTGGGCAGGTGCCCCGGGCCCTCTGCCTCGAAGGGGTGACTCAGGGGCATCTGTTCCACACACTCCCAGCCGTCCCCAGCGGCGTTGGGCTCTGGTGGCTCACGGTGACACTGGCTTGATTTTGCACGTTTTGCCAGCGCCTTCCTTCTCTGCGCAGCTTGCGGTCCCACGGCTCACACCAGCTCACGGGAGCCCGGCCCGCACATCGCTGTCCAGCTCTTCACCCAGCTGTGGCATGCCGGGAGCTGGAAATCAACCACATGCGCGCATTTACACCAGGGCAATTGGCAGACGCTACCACCCAGGGATTATTTATTTATTTATTTCAGAAAACCAGTTCACCTTCACATCACTGCTCATTGTCCGGCTCCCTCCTCGGTGTGTCTTGGCATCACCTCCCAAAGGAACTTGCACACATGCCCTTACTCAGGGTCAGCTCCTGGGGAAACAAAAATTCACACAGCTCCCCTGAGTCTGGAGACCGAGGGCAGTCAGCTCGCTCACGGGAGACAGGAGGCCCTGTTCCAGGCTTGTCCTCTGCTGCCGGCCCTCCGTCCTACCGCACCCCCCCCCCCCACACACACACACACACGCACACGCACACCCTGCACAGCCCGTCTGTCCCCGACCCTCCCCACACCCTCTGGGGACACCCACGGCTTACACTCACCAGCACCCTCTCTACTCCCCCTGGCGGTGCCACCTGGCCTCCCTCAGGGAGGTGCGAAGGGGTCTGAGTGGTCCCCCTGCTCCCCCTCCTGCACATCTAACCCTTCACCACCGGGAGCGAGTTTTTCTCACTGGAGACGCAAAGCTGAGGACGGCGGCCCTTGGACCTGGTCCGAGCCCTGTGACCTGCTGTGTGTGGGCAACGAGGCTGAAGTGACGGGGCGCCCAGTCTGGGCCCGGCCTGGCGAGGGCGTCACTGTTTCTTATCTGTGACGTTGACCTAGGTGCTGTGCTGAGGGGGGGGGGGGTCCAGCCCCCATGTCCTTCCTCGGGCAACCAGAGCCCTGACCAGTGGGCGCCACAGGACGAGCTGTAGGCTCCGCACCCGACTCCCCCAGCTTAGGGCTGATCTCTGAAAACAAAAGCACGTGCGGGGGGTGCGGGGGTGCGGGGGTGTACAGGGGGGTGGAATGGCTGGTCGGTAAACCCCTCCCCAGCTCCCAAGAGACAGACCTTCAAACCTTAAAGGAGGCGAGTGGGACGGGAAGGGGACCCAGGGCACAGCCGCCTCCTTCGCGGGGATGGCGGGCGTGGGCAGCCGCCTGGGGCCTTCACGCGAGGAGGCCACGCACCGCACCACGTGGCCACGACCCGCACCCAAGGTCAGCCGGGCTCCCGAGGGGAAGGAGGAGGGCGCCTCGGCATTAATAGCGCTGGCGGCAAGGTAAGGCCGCCCGCCCGCCCACTCCTCGCCCTCGCCCGCAATTATGCCGGCGAGGCTTTCATCCCCACGCGCGCTCGCGGGCAGGTGATTGTTGTGTGCCGGCCTTTTCTAGTCTCCTCTGCCTTTCATGCCGGGGACCGTGCCGCGGGGTCAACGCGCCTCCCCCGGCCCCTCTCCCGGCTCCGGTCCCTTTAGAAAAACACCCAAAGCCATAATTTGTCTTAGAATTTCTTTTGAAACAGCTACAAGAAAGACTAACGACTGCTCTTTTCCCTCTGTTTCTGATCCCAGCCACCCCTTTATCTGGCTTTCATTAGAGCCTCGGCCGCGCCTCTTTTGTGGGGGAGACTGGAGAGCGCGAGGCAGTTTCCCAGCCGCTGTGATGTTGCTAAAGATTAAAAAGGAGCTTTGAAGCCGCACCAGTTCCATGCGCGCCCCCTCGGTCCCGGACCTCAGCAAGACCCACGCCATCTGGCAAACCTGCCATGAAGACAAAATAAAGTGATTGAAACAGTCTCTTCAAAGCCACCGCGGCAGATTTGTTGATTCGAGCGTTATCTCTCCTGCGAGGCCCTCAGAAGTCACCAGAACACCTCGGCAATCTCAGGCAGGCCTCGGTGGAGCGGTGGAGCCGCCGGGCCGAGGCTCAGAGGGGCTGGGCCTGGCGGGGCCGAGGGATGGGCTGCAGGCCGCTGGCCGCTGGACGCTGGCCGCGGGCCCGGGACACGCAACAGTTGGATGCAGCGCCGGCCCTAATGACGGCTGGCAGAGAGGCCTCCCCCGGCTCCCGCCTGGGGTCCCCCCGCAGCGGGGGCGCCTGACACCCACCAGACGGACAGGACGGGAAGCCGCCTGCTGCGGGGCTGCTGAGCAGAAGGGGGCGGCGGGGAGATGAAAGCCTGCTGCCCTAATTGCAACCGACAGCCCATTAGTAACGCCCTGGCAGCTTCCATATCAGGCTCTGCTTCTCACGGCTCCCGGCTGGGCAAGGCCTGGGCAGATGGCTGTCTGCGGGGCCCATGGGAGGGTCTCCCTTGGCTGGCTGAGCCCGGGACGAGCGAAGATCCCGAAGGGGCAGAACCAAAGCCCGTCCTCCATTAATGCCGCCCAACACCGCGTGACCCCGAGCCCAGCCCTCTCTGGACCCCAGATTGCGCTCCTGCAAAAGCGGCACAGCCCGGCCGGCGGGGCTCAGTGGCTGAGCGTCGACCTATGAACCAGGAGGTCACGGTTTGATTCCCGGGCAGGGCACAGGCCTGGGTTTCGGGCTCCATCCCCAGTAGGGGGCGTGCAGGAGGCAGCCGATCAGTGATTCTCTCTCATCATTGATGCTTTTATCTCTCTCCCTCTCCCTTCCTCTCTGAAATCAATAAAAATATTTTTTAAAGGGCAGAGTCTACCCCCGCGGGCAGAGTTCCTCTCGTCTTGTTGGGTAGCACTGCCCCGAGGCCAGAGCCTGGGCCATGGGCGCGCTGCTGGCCCGGATGGAGAACCTGGAGGAGACGCCATCAGAGCCAGGACCGCAGCTGAACAGAGGCCCCCGACACACGAAGCTGCAGCCCAGGAATTGGGAGGGCACCGCCCCCCACACCCCTGCAGACATGAGGACGCACAAGTCATGCTCCTCTCAGTCACTCGGCGGTCCTCGCGCTACAAGTTGGGAGTTGGGGTGCACTATTCAGGCGCTGGGGAAAATTGGGGCCCATGAACAGTCCTGAGAGGGCCAAGGCGAGGTCAAGAGGGAGTGGGTGGTCCTCTGGGTCCCCCTCCTTCCTCCGGCAAGCTTCTCGGCTTGTATCTGTGACACACCTTGGGCTTCGGGTAAAACCTCCGGCTTGTTTGAAGGTTCTGCCGATTTCAACACAAATACGATGTGACTGCTACAGGTCTACCAGCCCCTGCTCCTTCCTTCTGGCACCCCAGGTTCCAGGAGGTCGGTCAGACCCCGCTGAGCACAACTAAGAGCTCAGCCCCGTTCTACCCAGTTTCAGTGAAACGATGGACTTACAGAGTCTGACCCGGATCAGCCACGGGGATCTACCGAAGGCCGGCTCCGCACTCCCGCTGGGAGAATGTAACCCCTGCCGCTCCCCCCAGGAGAGCTACCTGTGGATGTCCACACCCACAGAGGATGGGATAAATCACATTCTGCTTCTAAACCAGCGGGAGGACCACTGGTCACAGACCGGGGGACCACTCACCCATCCCTCTCCCTTCGCCCCCTCCCGCTGGCCCTGGCAGGACCAGGCAGGGTTCCAGCTCCTCCTTCGCTGCCCTGAACCTTTCGGGGGCCCAGAGAGGGAGCTCCTCGTCACAGCTGGCCCCACCACCCTGCCTTCCTCCTAGAAGCACAGCTGGCCCAGGGTGGGAGGCCCACCGCGGAGACCTCCTGGCATCTCGGCAGGGATGTGCCAGCATGAGGTCAGGCCTCCCGCTGTGCGTCCTCCCCGCGGGGGGCAGGAAGTCCGGCTCCCAGAGAGGCAGGGCCACAGAGCAGCACATGGGAGCGGCAGCTGCTCACCAACCCTCCTTTTCTAACCATTTTCTCTGCCTGGTGAACTCCTACTCATCCTGCAAAACCCATCTCCAAGTCACTCCTTTAAAACATTTCTAACTTTCCTTCTCCCTCGGTTCGCATGCCACATCAGGCACACCTGCCTTGGGTAGGTCTGAAATTAAATGATGATAATTTTTCCAGGAAGAGTAAACATCTGGAAATCAAAGGACCTCAGTGCAAATCCCTGCTCCCTTATTCACCAGCTGTGAGACCTTGGACATGTCATTTTGTTCTCTCTGAGCCCCCAGTTCCCCATCAATAAATTTGGGGGGGGGGGAGAAACTTATAAGGTAATATACATCAGGAGCCTACAATTATGTCCAACACGTAGAGACACTTAAGAGAAGCGAATTTCACTCCTTCCCTAACAGAATGTGAGCTTCTCAAGGGCAGGAACCAGCCATTCATTCATTCATTCATTCATTCATCATCACTGAGCTCCTATGAAGGAGCTACGCCTGAGTCAGAAGCCGGGTTCTACAGCAGGTCCAGGTGCCCCTAATGCTCCGGTTGCTCTTCCTCGCCCGTGGACCTCCAGCACCTGCTGTGGCTGACACTGTCCACACCCGTCCCAGGCAGGTGAGCCAAGGGCAGGTCTGCAAAGTTCAAGTGCAAGTGGCCTGACCCCAGGAACTCCAAGTCTGAGAGCAGAGGGCAGAGCTGCATTCCCCCTGATACTGTTGACTCTTAGTCTGATGGGAAAGACACATGTACCGCTGGCCGTAGAATTCCCTGTCTGACGGGGGAGACACGTGGCTCCTGCGCGTGGCCCAGCCTGTCACTGATGGGGTGAGATGTTCCTGTCACAGGAGGGCACCGCCTCTGACGGGCGAGGCCGTCTGTGCCCACAGATAGCTCGCGCGTCAGATAAAACAACATGGATGGAAAAAAGAGATCAATCCCAGGGCCCTTTGAAAACCTCGCTGCGCAGTGTCTCTGTCTGCAGACGCGGAAGCGATATCCCTGGCTCTGCAGACGCACCGCAGGGCTGGACACAAATGACACAGCATCCGAGCCTCCGTGCCTCCAGCCCGGCCCCCTCGCCAGAGGATCCAAGCCAGCGCTGGCCCGAGGCCCCCGTCCCTGGCATCGCCTGCCAGCCTTGCCAGGGGAGGGAGGCTTTCTCATGATCAGGGACATCTGGGCTGGCCGAGATCCCGGAGGCCACCGACATGAAAAGCGAGGGGCCCGGCGGAAACACCATCTGCACATCATAACGCAGCTCGGTTCCCGGAGGCCGCCTGCAGCTGCGGCCGGGCTGCCCGGGGACACGCAGAGGAAGACACCAAGCGGCCGGGAGGGGGACAGAGGGCAGAGCCAGACTGGAGTCGTTCCCGCTGACATTCCACGCACTTTGGAGATGAAAGCCACTGGGTTTGTCTCCCTGTCGCTGCTGGGTCCACAGGCTGCACCAGCCCCGAAGCTGACTGGGGGGCACGAACGGTACACAGCTGTGCTCATGGGCTCAGATTCTAGAGCTGTGCTGCCTGGGTTCGTTTTTCAGACCTGCGCATTGGAGACGGTACGAATCCTATCCCCTACCATGGGGTTGCTGTGAGAATTCAAAGAAGTAATACACGCCTTGAGCCCTACACTTAAGACTTTCGCACATGTTATATACGTCGATAACATTTCATTATAAAAGAGGGCGCCCTAGCTGGTTTGGCTCAGTGGATAGAGCATCGGCCTGCGGACTGAAGGGTCCCAGGTTCGATTCCAGACAAGGGCACATGCCTGGATTGTGGGCTCCATCCCCAGTAGGGGGCGTGCAGGAGGCAGCCGGTCAATGATTCGCTCTCATCATTGATGTTTCTCCCTCTCTCCCTCTCCCTTCCTCTCTGAAATCAATAAAAATATATATATATTTTTTAAAAGCCCTAACTGGTTTGGCTCAGTGGATAGAGAGTCGGCCTGCAGACTGAAGGGTCCCAGGTTCGATTCCGGTCAAGGGCATGTACCTTGGTTGTGGGCACATCCCCAGGAGGGGGTGTGCAGGAGGCAGCTGGTTGATGTTTCTCTCTCATCGATGTTTCTAACTCTCTATCCCTCTCCCTTCCTCTCTGTAAAAATCAATAAAAAAAATATATTAAAAAGAAAAAGAGGGCATGTGTGTCCCCCGCCTGATTTAAAGAGGTGCTCAGTCACTGTTGGCTCTTATCATCTTTGTTATCTCCCCTCCTAGACGCCATCCTTCCTGAGGCTCTAGGAGCTGGCACCTGCAGCAGGTAGAGCTATTGGGGCTATTTCATGGGCCGTCCTCTGCAAGGCCCCGCCCCCAGCACCAAGGCCACAGCTGATTGGACAAGGCTTAGGACATGGCCAAAGCAAGCTCATGTATGGCGGCTGAGCAGACTGTGGATTGTGGATTGGTGATCACATTGAGCCACGTAGAGCAAAGGAAGGAGGAGGAGGAGGAAAAAGAGACGGGCAGAGAGGAAAAAGACACAGGGTTCCCAAGACAGAGAGAGGGGGTGGGGGAGAGGGAGAGAGAGATGAGAGAGGGAGCGGAGACCTCCGATCCCAGGCTTTTCCTTTCCTAGTAGACGAGGCTGAACGGTATCTCCTGACCTTGGAGCCTATGAGATGAGTCCTGCCAAGAAGCAGGACACGCATGCACATGTGCACACATACCACACAGCACATCACTTGCATCCTACCAACATCCACGCGCCCACTCCTTTTCACCTTCTCTTTACAATTCCTCTCCCACATCTGAACACCTGTGCCTAGCACAGTGCCTGGCACAAGATAGGCACTCAACAAAACTGATGGAGGACAAAACTGATGGAGGGAAGGAGGGAGGCAGGGAGGCAGGGAGGGAGGGAGGCAGGGAGGGAGGCAGGGAGGCAGGGAAGCAGGGAGGCAGGGAGGCAGGGAGGGAGGGAGGCAGGGAGGCAGTCCTTGTGCTTCCCCTTGCCCATCGGATCGAGGACTACAGGTTTATCTTTGTCTCGGCAGAATCTGAGTCCCAGCGACTTCTGAGGTTGTCAGCAGTGGGCACTGTGCTGGACTCGCTGCCCTCCAGCAAGCAGCGCCGAGGCCACGAGGGCAGAGGCAGCCCAGACCCCCACATGGACAGCCGCCATCTGCTGCCTTTTGCTCACGCAGAGGCAGGCGGCTGGGGCAGCTCCCCCTGAGACCATGAGCAACCCTGGAAGCTGCCTTGTCAACAGGCTGTCACAGCGAATCGCCTCAGGCCGCTGCATCCCCAGAGCTGCCCAGGGAGCCAGCCTCGGCCCCCAGCACACACACATGCTGGCGCCAGGTTGGCCAGTCCATGCTGCCAGACGGGGGCACCTGTTACAGCTACCGGGGCCTGGGCTCTGGAAATGCCACCTCTCCCTGCCCCCCCCCCCCGCCCCGCCCCCCGGGGACACAGGGCAGGCACCCCAGAGTACCCTCCCCCACTCCCTCCTGCTCCTTCACACTCCGCTCCTCCCTTCCCTGGCCCTCGCGCCAACCACACAGGCCGCGCAGGGCTGGTTCTGCCCATTCCCCAGAGGGGAAAACTGAGGTTCAGACAAAGACAAGAAGAAAGTCGCCCAAGAAAAATTCGCCTTGGGGGTGCCTCGCCCAGTGGGGCTCTGAGGATCCCAGAAGGGCAGAGGTGAGCGTCTCGGGCCCCTGATGTTCACGGCCTTTAGTCTGCCTGGGCCACGGGGTCAGCCACCAGGAAGCCTCTTCCCTCTGTCAGCCATGAGGGGATAGCTGTGAGGGGTCCCCGCCAGGCTCCCCCAGAACTGCCCCGTCGGCCAGGTGCCCAGCACATCAGCGGTGCTGCAAGCTCCTCCATTGGGGCGCTGAGGTCCGCAGGCGCAGCGGTGCTGGGAGCTTGGCTCAGGGTCAGAAGTCTGGCCAGCCCCTGCCTCGGCCCCGGGCCTCTCCTGAGGCCTGGGCCTGAGAGAGCGGCCAGAGGCCATTTCCTGGGAGCGCCACACACCCCAGGGTGGCGGGGGGCAGCCTTCCCCAGCGGCTCTCTCTTCCACTTCCTCCTCCTCCTCCTCTGACTCTTCAGGAAGCCACCTGTCACTTCCTGTCTCCGTCCTCAACCAAAAAGACCCTCAGGAGAAGGAATCCTTAACAAAACAGTAGCAATTATTCATTCCTTCACCCAACACGTACTTCCAAGGGACTGTGCTGAGCCCAGCGTGGCTGGAGGCTGCCCAGTTCCTTGCGAACCGCACCATCACAGCCGCAAGCCAAGAGGGCGACAGAGGTGGCTAGCAAGACAGAAGTCGCACTCTCGGGTAACCGAACCCCAAAAGCTCCTCACCTTTGCCATGTTCTGTTGGTAGGAGCAGGTCTCTAGCACATAAATCCCAGGAGGCAGGAACCCGGAGGGGTCCTTGTAGAGTCGGACCCACACAGCGGGGTCCGGTTCAGTTGGCACGCCGTGTGCCTATGATGTGCCGGGCACCGTCCTGGAGCTGGGAATAGAACGTGAGACGAGGTAGGGTTTCTATCTCCCAGGAACTTTTTCTGCGAAGTGTTTTCCACTTCCTGCTCTTACTCATTTTCCTGGGCTGTGAGCCCTGGGGGGGGGGGGGGGGGGGGAGCCCTAGACAGGACCTGTGGAGGGGGAGGGAATTACTCCCTCTGCAGTGTGACTGTGTTAACCAGACCCTCTTCCTCCATCCCAGGGTCATGGGAGGGAAGAAAAGGCACAGAGAGTAAGCTAGCGCCAGGGGCACAGCGCCAGGGGCACACCCACTGTGCGGGCTGTGGATGCCAAGGAGACAAGACCAGACCCTGCCCTGGGGGAACAGACAGGTACACTCGTGGGTTTGGCCTGGAGCAAGGCATGTCACCATGAAGGCCAGACCCACAGGGCAGTGGGCAGAGCGGTTCTCCTTAGAGCAGTGGTTCTCAACCTGTGGGTTGCGACCCCTTTGGCGGTCGAAGACCCTTTCACAGGGGTCGCCTAAGACCGTCCTGCATCTCAGATATTTACATGACAGAACAGTAGCAACATGACAGTTATGATGTAGCAACGAAAATAATGTTATGGTTGGGTCACAACATGAGGAACTGTATTTAAAGGGCCAGAAGGTTGAGAACCACCGCCTTAGAGCAAAAAGGGTTAAAGCCAATGGTGGAAACCAAGCTTCACCCCATACTTGGAGGCCTTTCCATATCAGCACCTGCGATTTTTACTATTAGAATTGCTAGGTCGCCCAAGGAGGGACGCACGAGGCCAGAGTGGTGAGGGATTATGAATTTATTCGATCATCCGCACACCAGGTGGCTGAGCCTGGATGGCTCCAGCACCCAGTGAGGGGAGTCAGCGGCTTTTAAAGGACTTTTGGCGGGATTTTTTTCTGGGCGTAGACTCCTTTATGCAGACCTGGAGGGGAGAGAACGGCATGTGGTCACCACAAGTGAAAAGTGGTCTCAGCAAAGGGAATGTCCATAGTGAAATGACCTGAGAAGCCAGTTCTCCGGGAAGGGGTATCAACTCAATTGCTCCATCAAACCTAACAAGAGTCCCTCCGTTACCAGTGAGCTGGCTGTGCTGGGTCTGGCATCAGTACAGGGCTCCATAAACATTGTTCAATGGGGACAGAAATAAGGGGAAGTGGGATGGGAGGGAGGGAGGAAGGGCGATGAAAAGAAAAGTCAGAGGAAGGAAAAGGGGGGGGGAGGGAGGAAAGAGACAGGGGGAGGAAGGAGGACAGAGACAGGAGGCAAGAGAGAAAGAAAGGAAGGAAAATATGCAGCGAGGGAAAGAAAAAGACAGAGAAACAGAGATTTGGAGGGAGGGAGGGAGAGAGACCAGAGAGGGACAGAGAACGGAGAGAGGAGGGAGAGCGACACGAGAAAGGGAAGATTCGGGGCAGTGGCCCCGCCCCCAGCCCGGACTCCGCCCCCCGGCCCGCAGGCTGCAGCGCCCCCTCCAGCCGCCAGGGGCCGCCACGCGCCGCCGGCCGCTCCCCGCGTGCGCCGCGGGCCCTCTCTCCCGCCTCCGCGCTGGCCGCTCGCCGACCCGCCGCCGCTCTCGCGCCGCGGCCGCGTCTCGTTCGCCGCGTCTCCGTGAGGGGCCTCGCGCCGCCGGCGCCCGCCGTCCCCCTGCCTCGCGGCGCTGGGTCTCGCGGGCCCCGCTCCCGCCCTCCGCTCGCCTGGCCCGGACCGGAAGCGGCGGCGCACGGCCTGGGCCTGGCGCGGGGGGCGGGCACCGGGGCCCGGGCGGACATGGGCAAGAAGCACAAGAAGCACAAGTCGGACAAACACCTCTACGAGGGTGAGGAGAGGGCCGCGGGGCGGGGGCCGGCGGGCCGCGGCCGCTCCGGCGGCTCTTCGCGCCTTCGACTCCCCCTCCTCGAGCGCCCGAGGCGGCCGGGCCGCGCCTCTCCCCGGGCAGGCCCGGATCCGCGACGGGGGCGCGGCGCAGACCCGACGGGCGGGGGCGGGGCGGCCACGGGACCCCTGGCCCGGGCGGGGCGCGGAGGGCGGCGTTCGGGCACCCACGGGGCGAGCGCCCGTCATTCAACAGGTGCTTCGGGGGCGCCCCCTGCGGGCCCAGCGCCGCCCGCCCCGCGGCCCCTGCACGGTGGGCCTGCCCGCCGGGCCCCGGAGCCTCCGTGAACCGGCCTCTCCCCCCGCCCTCCCCCCAGAGTATGTGGAGAAGCCCCTGAAGCTGGTCCTCAAGGTGGGCGGCAGCGAGGTCACCGAGCTCTCCACCGGCAGCTCGGGGCACGACTCCAGCCTCTTCGAAGACAAGAGCGAGCACGACAAGCACCGCGACCGGAAGCGGAAGAAGCGGAAGAAGGGCGAGAAGCAGGGGCCCGGCGAGGAGAAGGGCCGGAAGCGCCGGCGCGTGAAGGTGAGTGCGGCCAACCCCGCACCGGCCGCGCCTCCTCCGCCGCCCCCCGCCCCCGCCCCCGCCCCCAGTGGACCCGGCCTCTCCGCGCCCTGCGCCTCTTTAAAGGCTGCCCCGTGGCGAGGCGGCGCGGGGCCGAGTGGGAGCACCGGCCGCCGCTCCGGGGGATGGTTTAGGCTCCAGCTGCGCTCGCACCAGGTGCGGGAGCCGCCCGCCCACCTGCCGGGCCCCGGGACCAGGTGGGCGGGACTCCGTTCGGCAGCGAATGGGATCCGCCCGGGTCCGCACCTGTGGTTCCGAAATGACGGTCCTCCCGAGGCCACGCGCGCTGAACGGGCGGCTCCCACCCTTTGAAACAGCGTTTGCGTCTGTCGGAGAGAAAACTGGGTCGAGATCTTTCGGGGACAGGACACCAGGAGTGAAAATAAGCATTTTCTTCACCGTTGGCGGTTAGTAGATGGAGAGGAAGCCCCTGCCGCCACGGGGTGCACGCTGAGCGAAATCGTGATCACGCCCCGTCCCTCCGGGGACGCTCACCTGCCCGTCTCTTCCGCGTCTTCATCTCGCCTGCCGCGTCGATAAGCTGGGACGCAGGGGTCCGTCCCCCTGGAGCGGGCATTGGGCTGTTTCTATCTTTCTTACTGTTTCGGCCAGAGCTGCAGCAAATATTCTTGTGGACATTGGGCCTTGAACGACACAGGAGTTAGGGGCGCTGACTCCCCCCCACCCCCCCACACCCCCCGTGCAGTCGAAAACCTGCATGCAGCCTGACTCCCCAGAAACTTGAGTTGTCCCCCGGTGTCCAGGAGGGATTGGTTCCAGGACGCCCCCCCCAGGATACCAGCCTCCAAAAAGCTCACATCCCCTGTGTAAAATGGCGTAGATCAGTGCATCCACTCAGCCCTCCCCACCCGGGCTCCCGGCAGGAGGCATTTACGGAAGAAAGTCCACATAGGAGCGCACCCACTCCTGTGCTGTCAGGGCCGAGTGTACACTGTGAAGGGAAGTGTCTCCGGGGTGTGCGCCCCGGGGTGGGAGGGTTTGGAGCCGGTGAAGGCCTCTCCGGCCTTCCTGTCCTCGGTCCTGTTCCTGGTTCAGCTGATGGCTGTGCCCCTGTGCTCACCCATCCGCAAGGCATGAGCCCCATTTCTCTTCATGTTCATCAACACCTGCCATGTACAGACATCTTAGCTTTTGCTGATGACAGAGGTGGAATCCTTCTGGTTTTTACATGTATCACTCCTAGAGGTCGAGGGAGCTTCGCTCATTTCCTGACATTTCCGGTTTCTTCTGGGAATTAGCTACGATGCTCTCCACCCATTTTCCGTTGGGTTGTTTGCCTTTTGTAGATGTTCTTCATGTAATCTGTGCTGAGACTTCGGGGTGTGTGCGTTGCAGGTACTTATCTCTGCCGGTAGCTGGCCTTTCAGCTTGTTTATGGGGAAGAAAAGTTTTTTCTACTCTTGAGTCATAAAGATTCTTTTCTCTGAAGTTTTAAAGGTTTGCTTTGTACATTTCAGTCTGCTATCCTGGGGTTTACTGTTGTGTCTGGTATGAGGCAGAGACTATATTCATTTTTCTTTTCTGTGCAGACGACTGGTTGTCCCAGCACTGACTCCCCGTTGTCTTTATTCCCAATGATGCCGCCTCTGTGACAGCCAGACTCGCTGTGCGCGTGGGTCTGTTTCTGGGTCCGCAGTCTGTTCTCGGTCGGTTCGTCTGTCCCTATGTCAGACCACGTTGTCTTCATTACTGTCACTCTGTACAGGGGCTGTGTACCTGGTCAGACTCTCATGGTCACCTTTTTCAGAACTGTTGTGACGGCTCTTGATTTTGACCTGCAAGATAAGTTATACGCTTGGCTTGTCAGATTCCATGAAAAATCCCATCTTCCAGTTTGGGTTGGCATTACATTTCATTTATAGATAACTCTGGAGAGAATCGATTGTCACGAACATGGTAGATTTCCTTTATTCGGGTCTTCCACAGTGTCCTTTCAGTAATATTTCATACTTTTTCCCAAAACGTATTAGGTGTTTTTATTAGATTTATTCCTGGGTATGTATCTTGCTTTTAGGACAGTGTTGTTTTCTAAGTGGTTATTTCTGGCCTATACTGTCAAATCACTTTTCTTCCCTTTGTGAACATGTTATTTTCTCCTTTTCCAGTAGATGGCAGCAAAATACATGAAGATTTTTTAAAAGAATTTTCAGTGGCGTCTTATTTTTCTCCACTGAAATTAAGATGATTTCGTTTAAAGGTGTTCTGAGATATTTCTGCATTACCTCCCTTTGTTCCGTTTAGGAGGAAAGAAAGAGGCGCGACCGGGACCGTGTGGAGAATGAGGCAGAAAAAGACCTCCAGTGCCAGGCGCCTGCAAGACTGGACCTGCCCCCTGAGAAGCCTCTGTCGAGCTCTGTAGCCAAACAGGAAGGTCAGAGTAACAGGGAACTGTCCTGAGTGACGAGGCTGACACAGCCAGGGGAAGGCACTGGGTTTCTAGCTTTCAAGTTAAAGTTTGGAAGCCTTTTAATGGAATTTTTAAGTTTTCTTACTTCTCTGATGCATACGACCTTTAAACTAGCTGCAGTTTTGAATTCATACTTACTTATAAGGGAAATGGAGTTTCTGTGTGAGGTGTTTAATGATGGGTATGAATAAGTCATATAGAAAGGAAATAAGCTAAACAGTACTCTGTAGAATCTTCCTTTTTAAAGTGCTCTTTTCCTTTCTTCTTCGCTTTAGAAGTAGAACAGACGCCCCTTCAAGAAGCTTTGAATCAACTGATGAGACAGTTGCAGAGGTAAATGGGTTTTCCAGTCCTTTTGTAACGTGGACATTGAAAGGAGAAAGAGAGTATCCAAAACACTTTTCTGTTTTGATTCTTTAAGGCCACATTGTGTGGCCTGCATCCAAACGTACTTGATTTTAAAGTGGATGATAAATATTTTGCCTGGCAGTAAAGCCCTCCAAGAGGCTGGCTTTTAGTCGTTCCCCTTTAGTTTGTTTGAGCTGGCAGCTTGAAGAGTGTTACGCAATATTCTTAATGGCAGATTTCTTTTTAATCTGAAGTAACTTCTGATGTTCAAGCTTTAAACCGGGAATAAACAATACAGATATTTCCACTTGGTTTATAGATAAAAATACCTTCTGTGTATTTGTGCAGTGCTTATCATACTGTGAAAGTTCAGCGATTACTAAGCCTGGGGCAGGGGGCAGAATACTATAAATAGGATTTGTGCCACTTTTAAATGCAGGAATTGGTTCTAAAAATTTCAGTATCTAGATTAAGCCCATGTTAAGTCTGTAAAAGGGGAGAGAATAAGTCAGTCTTTATTAAAATGTTCTGATACTTCTCTATACTCAGAATTTCAGTTTTCAGCTGAAAGGCATGTCCCTGGCAGAGGGTTCGCAGGTGCAGGGCATGCACTCTAAGAACGCAGTGGGCCGGTGTGGGAACACCGCTTCGGTCGTGGCTCTGTATCAATGGCTGCTCTCGGGGTGGAGGTGATGTTCTCTGAGAGGCCTCGCAGACAGCGAGTGTCGCTCACAGTAACCGCTGTGGGCAGCACCATCTGCACAGGGAAGGTCCGGGCAGGGGTGTCTGCTTATTCTCGGTGTTGGTCTCCTCGCGTGGGCATCGTGCTGGGAAGAGCAACGGCAGAGTCACGCAGACCTGGTGCAGATGTTAACTCTGGTCAGACTCACGGCCTAGAACAAATGACTTGAGCCCTGAGTCTCTGTCCTCATTCTAAGTGAGGGCACCGCTTCCTGATGGCTTTGTGCGGGTAGCTGTAAAGTACATCAGTCTACCACCGGGCCGGTGACGTGGTCAGTACATTTTAAAAGTCACTGCTGCTGTTAGTTCTGAAGCCATTTTTTATTGTCATGATGATTTAGAATCAGAAAATTTTAGTATGCCAGATTTCCAGAGGAAAACCACTCTGATGACCTAAGTATATAAAACAATGGTTCTCAACCCTGTCAGTCCTGGAAATACCAATGCCAAATGCTTCAGTGCCGGTACCAGGACTCAACCTTAGAAACACCAGTGCCGACCCACCCTCCTTCCTCACGCAATTTTTTATTTTTAAATATATGTCTTTATTGATTTCAGAGAGGAAGGAAGAGGGAGAGAGAGATAAAAACATCAATGATGAGAGAGAAGCATTGATCGGCTGCCTCTTGCATGCCCCCCACTGGTGATTGAGCCCGCAACCCAGGCATGTGCCCTTGGCCGGAATCGAACCCAGGACCACTCAGTCCGCAGGCTGACTCTCTATCCACTGAGCCAAACAGGCTAGGGCCTCACGCAACTCTTAATGCCCTGGGTCTGAGGTAAGCCTCCCCTAGCCCGCTGGAGTTTTTATAAAGTTCCTCCAGTGAGAGTTGAGAGCCCCTGATAGAAAACACTGTCTCAAGTTTAGGGTATTACGAGGCCTTTTTAATGTCATTTTTTTAACACACCCCCACCTACACACACACACACACACACACACAACACAACACACGATAGCAGTCAAAATACATATGCTCACAGGGATGCAATAATATGGTGGCCCACCAAGAGTCCAAGCCAATAGTTAGAAACCATATGGAAGAGGGCAGGTATGCATTCACAGTTACTGTTTCCGCCTTTTCCCCTGTGGTGGATAAAAATACATAGTACTAATCACCCAAAGGCCAAGACATTGCTCAGTTAAGCTGGGGTTTTTTTTTTGTTTGTTTCATTTTTCCCTGTGTAGGAGGTACTACTAATTAATTTAACCTGCATATTTTAAAAGACTCTCTACAA